TGTGTTTGCCCATTTAATCATTCAGACATGAGATCAGTTTTAAACTTACATTATACATTTTTTCATGTTTGTAAGTTGTTTCATAAATGGTTGGTTTAGAATTATGGAATGGGAAATAAGATATTTTAAGCTTCTATTGAAGAACAATGAATTTGGTGTAAAGTTTTTAGGTTTTAAGAATAGTAACAGAAAGCTTAAAGATGACAAGGAGGAATGGGGTCCAGGTATAGTAAATCTCACTGTACATTTTGAGAATATGATTTGGAATTAAAGAAGTAATGACCAGTAAGGTAAACCAATAATTTAGTTTAAATAATCTAGGGTAAAGTTAGGATTATAAGTTTTTAAGCTGTAGAGACTATGTAATTCTGTAGTTCACAGGTTTTTAGTCTGTATACTTGGAGAATTTTTGGAGGTCAAAGACAGATTGGGAGGTCAGGAGAAGGGTCTAGCCTCCCCTGCAGTCAGAAGAACTAGACTTTGATTTGTTTAAAACTATTCAGTTATGGGGTTTTGTTTGTGTTTCAAAGAAATGTTAAGCATTATGAATCTTGATCAGTCTTTGTGTTTATAAATAAGAAATGGAAAGCCAAAAGCATTTAGTGACTCATTCTGACTTATACAACTTTTGGTAGGTAGTAATAGAAACTTGTCCCTTTCATTGCTTATAATTCATTTCAACTTCAGCAGGTGAACTACTCATAGACAGCAGCTGCTACAGTATTTGTTTTAATGTAACTATTACCCTGTGCATTACTAACCTTGGGATTCAGCAAGATTAGGATTACCTAAAACTTTGGGGGCTTCCTGTGTCACTCACTGTAAAAGCCTGAGTCCTTTGAGTAGCTCATAGATCCCTACTCCCTGGAAGTTGGCTCTTTCTCTAGTACCTCCTTGTCTCCTCTGTTTTCTCCTGCACACTTTGGTTCAACACACAACCTTCTTTCTCTATAGTCCCTTGAAGCAACCAGCCATGTCTGTCCTAGGCTCTTCACACTTGTTCTTTCTGTGTCTAAAGTGCTGCTCCTAGGTAGCACTTGGCTTCTTCCCTCACTGACTAAGGCTTTGCTGTGATGTCACTTCTGTAAACCCTGTTAATGTTGCAGTATGCTTTCTCTCCATCCCCTTCTAATTGTTTTCATGGTTCGTAGTCATCAGCTGATACATAATGTATTGGGTCATTGGAAAAGCCATAATGCATTTTTTTCTTTTCCTGTGTAAAAAACATGTCATTTCAGATGACCCAGTATTTAATTATTTGTCTATTATTGGTCTCTTCCCACTATAATATAAACTTTAAAAAATTTTTAACTTTATTTATTTATGTAAATTTGACCAGAGAGGGACAGGGAGAGGGAAAGTAAGAAAGCAAGCCTCCAGGTTCAGGACTTGAACTGCGGTTGGCCCTGTGGGAGTCCAGTGCTCTTAACCACCACGCCACCTGCCAGCCCCAATAAACTTATGTATTTTTTTGTCTGTTTTCTTTGCCAGTATGTTGTACTGGGCCTGCTTTTTAGCATATAGTAGATAACTTAGTATTTGAGTGATCAAATCTACACTTTAAAAAAGAAATACTATATTAGGTTCATGCTTGATTAAGTCTGTGGAGTTTTTATTGATTATTTTAAAAACTCTTCAAAAACTGAAACTTTAAAACTTCCTTTGATGTTTCATTACTATTTTCCACTATATTCCTGGCCATGTGACATTCTATGGATTTATGTGTTTGTTAATTGTCTGCTTTCTTTCTGTGAAATGACTGGCCTATCTATCTCTTTTGTTCATTGCCATGTCTTCAATGCCTAGAGTGCCTGACACATAGGAGATGCTCAGTTTATTTATGAATTTATGAATGAATTGATGGGCAGAAGATAGAATGCGCTGTAGAAATTACAGATTTTATTTTTGTTTTTATTTTTAATACAGGTAGATCAGATGAATAAAATAGTGGAAGTTCTGGGTATTCCACCTGCTCATATTCTTGACCAAGCACCAAAAGCAAGAAAGTTCTTTGAGAAGTTGCCAGATGGCACTTGGAACTTAAAGAAGACCAAAGATGGAAAACGGGTAAAATTAGGGATACTTTTTTTTGTCCTTTGTTATTTCACCAGAACTGTCTCTTTAGAGCTCATTTTGTATTTGTTTGAAATCAGTGTTAAAGTTAACAGTTCATCGACAGATAGGTTGTTAAAATATTAAATGCAGTTTGACCTAAACAGTCTGTGTGGATCATGACTGCTTAATGCCCAGAGTTCTCTGTAGAGCTTTATTTTAAAAACTTACATGCCTGTATCTTAAGACAGATGATCAACTTGCACATGCTTTGTTTCAGCAGTAGAATCAATACTTTGACCTTTATCTCTCAGAGCTTGGCCATAGGGTAGTTACAGCAGTATTGCAGCTGTGAGCAGAAGTTATAATTACAGTAAACAATTTTTTTTTAAGTTTAGTTGGAGTAATAATGTGAAAAGGAGATTTTTGACTTAGGCAATTTGTGTATTTTTAATAATATCAACTGCCTAGATGGTCTTTGGTAGATTTTGGTTAATCACTCAGTGACCTCAGTAGTAAGAGCTTTATACCTCCAAAGTCTTTTTTTAAAAAGTGAGGTTTTTCAAATGTTAGGCTTGTTTTAGTAATTTCATTTGAGGACTTTTTTAGATACCTGAACAGTCAATTTAATTGAGTAACTGATGGCAGTTTTACATCTTAATTTATACTTTTGTCTTATAAAACCTGTTTGCTTATCTAGTTTATGGTATCGAATGAATATAATTTATAAATAGGTGATTGAAAAGTAAATACAGATGTCCACAGGAGGGGGCTTTAAAAACTTGATGGAAATGCGTATTACCAAAAAAGGAAAAGAAGACCCACTATGCATGGATTTCAATTTTTTGGCACTTAAGTAAACTGTACTTTAATTCCATTTTTCACAAACTTTAAAAAAACTCACAGAAATACATACACCTCACTTTGTGATTGTAGTCTCACATTTTTAACATTTAAGAAATTTTATTTTTGCTCTAGTTACTGTTGGCCCTTTCCATTTTAGCGATGCTGCCACCAGGTGTCATTTTCAGTGAACTAAAGATGGTGGTGATTTGCTTTTGTTTACTTCCATAGTTATGATCTCCTAACTTTTAATAGCAAGTGATTTTTTTTCTAGTAATACTTGAAAATATATATGTGTCTTATATTTCATGATTATATATGTGCTTTTTTTTTTTTTTAAGTTTTTTTTTGGGGGGGTGGGGAGAGGTTTTTACTATAGTGCATATGTGCTCACCAGAAAGAGATAGATAGAAAGCGAGAAATCACCACCCTCCCCCAGGGGAGACGGACATGTCACAACCCCTTCTCCATTCTCCTCCGGACCTTGGCCATGCACGCACACATGCCCAGTGTGAGTTTAAGCCACTGGGTTTAGGACTTGAACCATGGTCTCCTACATGGGAGTCCAGCAACATAGATTATGCCAACAGCTGGCCCCAAGAATTTTTTTTAACTTTATTTATTCATTCATTTATTTATTATTTTAATTTGACCAGAGAGGGACAGAGTGAGAAAGAGAGAGAGCATGAAAGTGAGAAAGCAAGCTGCCAGGTTCAGGACTTGAACTGTGGTCAGCCATGTGGGAGTCCAGCACCCTCAGCCACCATGCCACCTGCTGGCCCCCATGATTATTATATATGTGTTTTATCTTTCATGACTGATATATAATAATGCATCTGCCTTATACGCCAAAGTTGGAGGCAGTGCAATTTCCAGCTGCTAAAATATGAATGGAAAATACCAAGCAGACTAGGGAGTCCTTCTTTTACTTTTGTCTATATAGCTTATCAATCATTGTCCATTTTCCTATCAATCCAAACCTTAGCTTGCAGAATCCTCCTTACATCACAGCATTCAAGGCAGTTCAAATTAGCCTGGAGGATGTGAAATCTGCTTTATATTTTCTCTCTGAGGTATAGGCTGCTACTTTCTCCATTTTGAGTTTTTCTTCTCTTTTTTTCTAAAGAAAACATCCCGTTCTATTTCCCAAACCTGTGCCTCAGAAAGCCACTGTTAAGCAACTATGGACTGTACTCTATTGCATTCCCCAAGTTGAGCTATAATAATAATTAATATTAATTTAAAATATGTTTTGTGAGCGCATGTGTGTTTTAGAGTGAGACAGATACCCTCAACATGATATTCACACTGCAGTCTACCCCCTAGCTTTAGCCAGTCCCAAATTATGGGAAGACCTATGCCTAGTATGTTCAGGGAGGTCTCCAAAGTGAACTTGGAACTGGTCCTCACGGGGCAGAAAGCATTGTGTTACTGCTGTGTCACTGTCTGGCTCCAGTTGTTATTTGGGAAGTGGGCATTTCTGGAATGAGTAGATAAATCTTTTCTCTTTCTTAGTTGAAAATTGGTATGTTATATGTATGAAGTAACTGTTTTAACAGGATAGATTTCCCAACCACACACACACACACACACACACACACACACAAAATTCAAATACATAGTTAAATGATTAGATTACAACGGATATACTAAGAATTTTTTTCCCCTGCTGTCAGCTTATTTGTAGGCCCCAAAGAATACAGAGTCTTCCTGAATAAGGAAAAGAAATGTGCTCCCTTTCTCCCCTCAGGCAATGCTGGAGTACTCTACAGGCAGAAAGCTTCTGGAGTAAGGAATTTTAGTCAAAAATACAATTAGATGTGCATACACACTATGTCTCAAGAGAAGGTGGATCACGTATAGGGACCACAGTTGGAATTCCCAGCCTAGTTAACCTGAAACACACAGGGTATTCACCTGAGTTCTCAAGAGCAGACATCTTTTGTTCTCAAACTTATGAGAAAGGCATAAAGCCATTCAAGGTTACATGTGTTAGTTGCACGTTTTTTGTAGATGACCTTCAGCAGGTTGAAGGAGTACTTTTTTGTTTCTTCTCTTTTTAGTATTGTGGTTTTTTGTTTAATTATTTTTTTAACCATGAATGGGTTTTAAATGTCACCACATTGCTTGCCTCTGTAGAAATCATGTGAATTCTCTCCTGCACTCCCCTTTTGTGGTGAAATATGTTAGTTAATGTTTGGAATGTTAAGCTCCAATTTATAATAAACCCTGCTTGGCCTTGATGTACTGTTGTCTTGTATACTGTTGAATTCAGTTTACTTAGTCTATTGGTAAGGAATTTTATTTGTGTCATTAATGGATATTTTTAAAAAATTTTATTATACTCCTTATGGTTTGATTTGAGGAATTTCTGTAGGGTCTACTGAATAGTCTCTCTTTTATTCCTGACATTAGTTGTTTATGTTTTCTCTTTGTTTCCTATTAGTCATGCTAGGGGTTTACCAAGTTTATTAACATTTTCAGACAACTAACTTGATTTTTTAAAAATTCCTAATTATATGTCTGGATATTTAGAGTTTTATTTATTTTTCAAAGAGAGAGAAAGAAGTACCGTCAACAGATCTTTACACCACAACCCATTCCTAGTGTCAGGCAGACTGGATTATGTCACCCTAGGATGTGAACTAAGGACTTTTCCCATCATGCTGGTCCAGTTGTGTTACAACTGTGCTACTGTCTGGCCCAATCTAGCTTATGTTTCATTGATTTTTGCTCTTTATTATGCCCTTTAACTTGAATTTATTCTTTTTCTAGATTCTTATTATTAAAGATAATGTCATCAATATTTAAACTTTTTTTCTTTTCCTATAACATTTAATGATACAGTTTCCCTCTAAGCACTGATTTTAGCTGCATCCTGCAACTTTTGATAAGTTACTGTAACTGTTATTCATTTCGACATTTCTAATTTCCCTGTAATTTCTTTAACCCATAATTATTTAGAATTCTGTTACATAGTTTCAAAGTATTTTAGGGTTTTTTTAGACATTTTGTTATTGATTTCTTATTTTATAGTGTTGTAGTCATAAAACATAATTTTACATCTTTAAAATTTGTTTAGAGTTGTTTTATAGCCAAACATATAATCTGTCTTGGCAAATGTTTCACATACACTTGACAAGAATTGTATTTTGTATTTGTTGGTTATAGTGCTATGTAGCAACATAGAGCAGGTTGTTTGATGTTTTTTATTTCTTTTTTTAAAATCCTTATTCTGTGTGTCTGTCTGTCTGTGTGTGTATATGAGTCATGCTCACTAGAGGACAGGGGTTCATTCTGTAAAATGCATTATTGTTCAATAGTGTAATCATGCAAACATCTTAGAGCTTACTTATACAAACCTGGGTGGTATAGTCTGCTGTACACTGAGGCTATATGATATAGCCTGGGATAATCATATTAGATCACTGCTATATATGTGGCCTCTTGACAGAAATGTTAGTGGCACGTGACTGTATTCGGTCAATAATTGAGAGAGGAGTGTTAATCTTCAGTGATAATTGTAGATTTGTCTTGGTCTCCCTTTGGTTGCATTATGTTTTCTAAAATTTTATTAATAGGCTTATAACCATTAAGAATCATAAGTCTTCATGATAAATTGACCCTTTTACCATCATGAAACATTCCTCTTCCTTTTTTTTTTTTTCTTTTTTAATTTCTGAAGAATGCTCACCAGAGACAGACTGACAGATACCGAAACACTCCTGAATGAGGCATGGTTATTCTACAATTCTTTTTGCTTTTTCTCCATTCTGTCAGGGTTTGGAGCATGCACACACATCTGACTTTTTTTTCAACCTGTTTGGACCAGGATTTGAACTGCAGTCAGCCATGTGGGAGCTGGTTCCCTATGCACAGGGCTTAACCGCTATATTAGAGGGCTTGCCTGTGAATGAAATGTCCCTCTTTTATCTCTAGTAATATTTGTCTTTAAGTCTATTTTGTCTAAGAGAGCTGTAACTATACCAGCTTTCTTATTCCTGACATTGTGGTACATGCATTTTCTACCCTTTTGCTTTTAACCTACTCATATCTTTATATTTAAAGCATGGCATTATATGCAACACATGATTGGGTTATGTATTTTAATCCAATCTGATAGTCTCTTACAGTGAGTAAAATTTTACCCCATTTAGTTGTTCAGAGATCTGGGTTTAAGGTTGTGATTTATATTTTATTTTTTTAATCTGGTCTTTTGCATAACTGTGTAATTCTGTCGAATCCTCTTGTGCACTTGTTTTATATTACTTCTGGCATATGCTATGAGCCTTATGAGGCATTATTGACTGTTGAAATTAAAAATAGAATTTTAAAGAAATTTAAAAAGTAAAGAAATGAATCTTTTATATATATTTTCTCATATTTGCATTGATCTTCATTTCTTTCTGCAATTATTGACTTCCATCTGATACTATTTTCCTTTAGCCTGAAGAACTTTCTTTAGCTTGTTATTTTGTAGTGAATGACTTCTACTGATAAATTCTTTTCAGCAGTCATTTTTCTGAAAATATCTTGATTCATCTTCATGTTTTTTAAAATATTTTCAGTAGATATAGAATTCTAGATTGACCTTTTTTCTTTCAACAAGAGAAAAAGATGTATACTTGTTCAAAGCTGTCGGGAGATTGTTTTGTGGCCTACATATTTTTAAAAATTATTTAACTTTATTTTTTGTTATTCTTTTTAAATTTCATCAGAGAGAGACAGAGGATGAGAAAGGGAAAGTCAGAAAGCAAGCTGCCCGGTCTAAGACTCGAACCACCCATAGTTAACCATGTGGGAATCTAGTACCTTAACCACCATGCCACCCGCCAGCCCCACGATTACATTGTTTCTGAAGAGAAGTTAGTAGTTATTCTTAGCATTGTTCTCCTCTACTTAATGTTTCTCCTTCTTCCCACCTGGTAGGTTTGAATTTTTTTCTATTGCTGTTTGATCTTTAGCAGTTTGACTATTAAATTCCTACTTGGGGATTCTTTGTATTTCTTTTTTAGAGTTCACTGAGTTTCTTAGATCTGTGGGTTGATCTCTTTCATCGGTTTTTGAAAATTCTCACACATTATCTTCTTAAATATTGGTTCTGCTTCTGTTCTCCTGCTGGTTCTCCAATTATACGTATGTATAGTGCTTAATAATTGTTATAGTGGTCTCTAGGTTTATGCATTATGTTTTATTTTTGTTTTTTCCAGAGAGTGCCCGTGCTTGGCAGAGAGAAACAGAGAGAGAAAGCAAGAAAGCACCCCCTGTGGAACATGGTTACACTGCAATTCCTTCTCCACTTCTCCCTCTTTTCAGGATTTTGGGCAGGCACACATATGCCTGGTGTGTTTTTCATCCATCCCATGTCTAGGATTCAAACTGTATGATTGGGCCTACGGGATCCAACTGCCTTAACCACCAGGTTCTGGATTGGCCCTGTTTTCTTTTTGTGTGTATAGTTTTGCATAATTTCTGTTCTATCTTCTCATTCACTGATTTTTTTTTTTCTTGTGCTGAGTCCAATCCGTAATCTGTTCATGTAATCCATCTTTTGAACTAAATTCTTCTATCATAGTTTTCAAATGGTTGTCTTTTGTCTGCTTATTTGACTATCTGGATCATTTATGTGGATCTTCTATTAACTAGTCCCATTCCCCCTGACCCACTCCACCACTTGGTTATAGGACTTTAGGTTTGTCATGTCTGTAGGAGGTAAGTTCTCAGGTACACAAGTACATGCCAAATGTTCTGTGTTTTAGAACAGTTGAGATGGAATTAAAACTTATTTTCCTTCAGAGAGAGGCATGGGTCTTCCTCTGTCAGTCCTCTAGTGTTGGGCTGAGTCAGTCTCACTAGTAGTTTAGTTGAATATGGGCTTTGTTTGTTTGGGTTAGTTTCTTTTTTTTTTTTGGAGAGGTTTTTGCTATAGGGAGTGTGGGCTCACCAAACAGACAGACAGTGAGAAAGAAAGCGAGAAATCACCCCCCAGGAGGGATGGCCACACCGCAATCCCTTCTCCTCTGTTTTCCTCTCTGGATCTTGGGCATGCACACACGTGCCTGGCGTGTTTTAAGCCACCGGGTCTGGGACTCGAACTGCACTCAACTACATGGGAATCCAGCGACATAGCCATTACGCTAACTCCTGGTCCTGTTTGGGTTAGTTTCTTCTGTTCATCACTATCTTTGTATGTTTTGAGGCAGATAAGGATCTTCCCTTAAATGCCCTGAGCAATGTTTATGTCTTGAGCACCAGGGGGACTAAAGGTCTCTTTGCATTGTGTGCCAGCTCACAGAACCACTCCTGACTCTCCACACCTGGGAGAGCTTTGTTACTTTGCTGCTCTGACTCAACTTCTCTCTGTCCGCACGTAGCTGTGGTTCACAGCTGGGCTGTGTTCTTCTTATCTACCTCTACACCATTGCTTGTGCCGCCTTCTGTCATAGGGCTCCTCTCTTCTAGGAAAGGCTTTGCTGTTCTAGAATTTGGTGAATTTTGGTGTCTTTGAGTCCTCAACTCATGGGTGAATTTTTTTAAAAAAATCTATGATTTTGTAACCTATTTGGCTTGTTATTTGCTTTTAATGTGGGCATGGCCATCTCATAAATTTCTACATTGTAACTAGAAGCAGAAGTCCAGTGATCTGTTCTAAATAAATTCAATATTTATTGGGACTTTAGGGTTATACTGTCATTTATTTAAAAATAAGTTTTTAGAATATCTCAATATATATTAGTGTATTATTAAACATTTTCTGAAGGGAGTCATAAATAATTTGCATTTAAATTTTTCTCCTC